GGGGGGACCCGGCGGAGGAGGTCGAGGGGGGATTGCCGCAGCAGGAGGAAATGGGAGCCGAGAGAAGAAATGAGACAGGAGGGCGGCGTGGCCGGCGGGTCACATGCTGCCAGGGGTCAAGTAAGATGAGGATTTAGCAACACGGAGGCCGCGGGGCCTTTATTCAGCTCCAGCCGCCGCTCATCTGCCCCCGGCAGCTTCCTGTCTGGTGCTCCGGGCCCCGTGGGACCACAGACGCCTCTGACCGCCCCCTCCTGCCCTTCCGTTTCTGTCCCTCGGCCTGGACACGTCACAGAGCACGGAGCCTGTCCTTTCTTAGTCACTGTGTTTTGTTTAAATTATATTCTTAAATGATCTGTTTCCTTCTTCACTTGACCTCGACATATATTTCTAAATGTATGTCCCAGTCCAAAGCCCGCAGTGCCCTGGGCCCTGTCCCCGTGTTCCCCCGAGCACATCCTGCGACCTCAGGCCCCGGCGGCCACGCCGTCCCTCTCTCCCCTCCCCACCCCACTCCTGCGTCTCCTCACAAGGCCCACCTCCATGCCTTCTCCTCCCGGAACCCTTGCCATCCCCTGGGAGTGGCCCTCCAGCGCCCAGCCTGCCTTATTTGGCGACTCTTCCCAAGGGGCTCTGCCTGTCAGCTCACTCAGTTCCGGGGTGACTTGCGGTCCATCAGACCTGGATTCGAGTCTCAGATCCGCCTGCTTTTACGTTAGGCCATCTGCCTCTCTGCCAGTCCTGAAAGTGTCATCTGTATGACGAAACCAGTGCCATGTTTCGTGGCATTGACTGAGAGGATGCAGTGGCAGGCACAGTGTGGGGCACCGTGACACTCCACAGGGGACCTCCGTCCTCGGAGGAGCCAGGAGCCCTGGCCAGTTCCTCCGAGAGCTTGTCGGGTGGCCATGTGACCGAATCCTAACCTGACCAGCCACTTGCCTGCAGGGACCTCGCCCGATGAAACTGGCATCGGAGGGCCCCTAAGTGGCTGCGGCACAATGGCGAGCCTGCACGCCCGGCATCCCAGAGTCCGTCCCACCCGCTCACCAGAGCCGGCGAGTCTCTCGCTGTCTGTCAGCGCCTGTTGTGAGCCGAAAGCCTCCAGTCGGGAGACGTGGGTGTGGAGGGGAGAGCGTGGCACCCCACCCTCCTCACAGCTCTGACTCAAGAAGCTACTTAACGTCTGAGCCTCGTTTCCTCAACTGGGGACTGTGGGGTGAACTCCCATCACCACAGTGTTGTTAGTTCTGTGGTTTCATGAAGTGTGTCAAACAACGCCAGACCTACTGGGGCTCAATCAGTATTAAATGTTTCACTGCCCTGCTTCTTACAATGAGGGCCAGAAACTGCATCTCCTTCAAAAAAATCGCTCGTAATCTGGCACAGGCATATGCACATTATAGAGGATCGATAACTGTTGTTCAGGATGGTGATGACACCAGTCTTCCTTCCGCAGTGTTCAGTGCGCAAAGTGGTCACATACCTGAGCTCACTGGATTCTCAAAACAACCCTTTGAGCCCAACTGGCGTGGCTCCGTGGTTGAGCGTCAACCTATGAACCAGGAGGTCACGGTTTGATTCTGAGTCAGAGCACATACCCGGGTTGTGGGCTCGATCCCCAGTGTGGGGCGTGCAGGAGGCAGCCGATCCATGATTCTCTCTCATCATTGATGTTTCTCTCTCTCTCTCTCTCTCTCTCTCTCCCTCTCCTTCTCCCTTCCTGAGATCAATAAAAATGTATTTTAAAAATAAAATAATATCCATTTAAAATCGCTGAGATGTTACCCTCACTTTGTAGGTGGGAAACCAGTGACGAGGGTTAAGTCCCTCCCCGAACCTACGTTTCACTGTAGCGATCCTTTGCTCCTGGGTTTCCTTTGCTTGAAATCCGAGTGCTTTTGGACTCGCTTTTGTATGTTTTGAGTTACTCCTGTTGGTGACCCCTGTTCAGAGAAAAGCTGGCAGTCAGACACGAGGCAGGGACAAATCCGGAGGATTCTGCGGCAGAGAGACAGGGCGGGGAAGCGGCTTTCCCACGTGGGCTGGCTTCCCGCGAAGGGCAGGGACTGGTGGTGCCTGGTCTGGAAGGCTCACTCGCTCGCTCGTGGGCACGGGTCCCGCTAGGATCCTCTGGAAGCCGGAGGCGGGTGAGCATCCTTCCGTCCTTTAACTAAAAGCTCCTCAAGGCAGCCCCACGCCCCAAGTGACTGCTCCGGGGCCACGCGGTGGGATCAGCAGTGGAAACACTAACTCAGACTGGAAACCTTTTTTAAAAATATATATTTTTTGTTGATTTCAGAGAGGAAGGGAGAGGGAGAGAGTTCATAGGTCGATGCTCAACCACTGAGCCAGGCTGGCCAGGCGGGAGATCTGTTCAATGTAGCCGGGGGACCAGGCAAAGCACACAGCAAATGCTTCTTAGCACGTGCCCGAGCTTCTGAAGCAGAGCGAGCGTAGGCGCCTTGCTGACCGCACGGCTGTCCCGCACTCTCCCGTGAGCCTGAGCTGCGGGGGGCGAGTGCAATGAACCAGCCTCATTGCTACAGATCCGTGTGGGAAATGTCGCCGATATCGTCCGTCTCGGTCCTAAGGTCTCCTGTTTCTCAGCCTCCGAATCCCCCACCCAGCCCTCGGGTGCACGTACACAACTGAATCACGCCCAGCGCTCACGTTGTTGACCTGGAGGCCAAGGACGTGGCACACATATTGCCAGGCCCCAGGGGCGGTGTGTGCCTTGTGCTTTGGGAAGGACGGACTCTGCCCGGGGCCGAGGTGGGGTGGGGAGGGGACGGCGTTCCAGCCGGGTCACAGGTCACGGAGAATATGGGTTCCCGAGAAGGGGGAGGCCATCTCCCACAGAGAGCACAGCATGGCCAAGGCCCTGCGGTTGAGACATCCCGGCTTGTTCAGGAGCCCCCCCTGCCTGAGATGGAGGGAGCAGGGCAAGGAGGCGACAATCTAATGGACCCCTGCCCGCCGCCTGCCAAGCCATTGGCTGTAGGACTTGGGGCTCACAGTGTTAGCAGAGCTATTTGGGGAAACTAGCTGGTAGAGGAATGACAGTCTTAGAAAGGAGAGCGCTCTTGCCACCCACAGGAGCCACATGCCGAGGGCGGAGCTGGGCAGTGTCTGTCTACAGAGCTGGAGCTGCCTGGGAGGTGAGTGACGGATGAGCTGCTGGGGTGACAGGTAGGGAGGGGCTGGCAGTGGGTGATGGGGCCACGGTGCTGTGATGAGGTTTGGGGTGGGGGTTTGGGGAGCGAGGATATACTCCAGCCGTAGGTGCTAATGTTTCCTCCTTTGGAGTGAGTGGCACTGGGGTCCTTCCATTCCAGCCTGGCATGGGCGGGCCTGAGGTCTCCGAGGCTGGACGCGGGTGGGCACCAGAGGCTGGAGCGGGGCTGCCTGGCACAGACCAGCTGCTCCTTGTCTGTGAAATGACAGAGACCAGCACCGTGTGACGTAAGCACTGTGCGGGTATTTGGGGAGCCCGTGGGCATGCAGGGCCACGCGTGATGCCCATTTCCCCCTTCAGTTTGAAAGCGCTCCAGTTTGATCCACCACCACCATTTGGAAGGCAGACAACTGAGTTCATTCATTAAGTTAGTTCCTTCACTGCCCAGCAGCAACTGATTAGTAGGAAGGCTTTTGTAATTTCTCCCTTTTTATCGTCATTGCTATCATCAAAGATATTCATTGACCTTTGGTTGGATGGCGGCCCGCAGTCTCAAAGCCTTGCTGCGAGTTGGGAAAACAGACACAAATGTAGGTTGTAGGTCGTTCACAGGAAACGGGAGGTGGGTGCTGAGGAATGAAGATTGCAGGGAGACGCACCCCCCACCGCCCCCTCCCTCTTGCCTGGGGCTGGGAGGTGGGGTGCCGTGTGGTCTGAGGCCACCACACCCACTCTGATCCTCAAGCCTGGGTGAGGAGGGGCCCCGCACAGTGTTACGGGGGAGCAGCCCCGACTCTGACGACTCTGACGCAGGCCCTGGAGACACTGTGGGTAGATGGTGAGGCCGGACAGGGGTGGGTGGGGCACTGTCTTTGGCAGGACTGACGGCCCAGGGCAGTGGGAGGCCCGCCCGGCCCCAGGAGGGGGACTGCCCAGGGGCCAAGCAGAGGACTTTCCCTGGGAGACTTTCATTCTGGTGTGAATTGCTACGGGGCAAAGTAAGCAGAAGTAAACATGGTTTAAGTTTCCTGACCCTCTGACATGGTAAAAAAATTTTTTTTCTACTTTTCACCTTGAGAGTTTTAAAATTCAGAGACCACATTTTTCATTGTAGGTAATGTTTACCTTAATCTGAATTACTGTGGATGGCAATGGTGACAAAAGGTAATTACATTTAAGTGATATTTTAACTTAAACATTCCTTTGGGAATACCTGGGAGTCACCCAGTGCAATACAGCTATCACCCAACATGCAGAGTTGTTCCAGAGGCAAACAGTGCTGCGAAGGGAGAGGGCCCGCGGGCGGCAAGACCGGTCTCGAACCTCTAGTCCATACAGGAACCCTTCCCGGCTCCTCACGCCCGCGCACTGCGGGCAAGCCTGGCACTGGCACCGCTTTGCCCTAAACACTTCACAGGGCACAACTCGGGCAACGGAAGCTGAACTTCTTGGAAAACATTCTGTGAGGACTTCACGCTGCGTGGATTTACTCAGCTCTCAGGCACGCAGAGGCATCTAAACGGAGGCAGTCGGCTGCGACCCAGGACACACGCCCTTTCTCTGCCTGCGGACAGAGCAGCTCACACTCTCCGCAGCCACACCGGGTGTCGGCTCAGGCTTCCTGGGACCCAGGAAGAGTGCTCCTCCTCCTCTAAGCAAAGTGTCCTTCTGGGGAAAGATGTGCAGGGCGGATTAATGCTGGTTTTTTCCCTTCTTCTGAGGTGGCTTTGTGCCAATGGAAGAAAAAAACACCCAAAGATAACAAAGACCTGTAGACACCCCCAGCCCTGGGCTTGCCTCCTTTCTTTGGGCGTTAAAAGGCTCCCCTTCTGTGTGGCAATGACAGGCCTGCCACCCCCTCCGGTGAGCCCTGTTAGCCATCGTTACATCCCCATAATCCTGCTGCCTGACCTGATGGGCCAGGAGCCAGAGCTGGCAGGGAGGAGACACGCCCTGTGCATTTAAGTCTAACACAGACTCTCCAACTGCCTAAAGAAACCCGCTTTTGTATTTTTTCAAGGATTATGAGGGAAAAAACCCCACACACATCAAAACTATGTTCAAAATGTATGAGATGTCCCAGTAGATTGATGAGGCTTTGGGGCCAATGTTCTATATTCTCATGGGAATAGACTCTCATTTACATTCACTGATTTAATTTTTTAATTAAAAAATTTAAAAGCTTTTGTTTTAACCTACTGTGCCTAAACCTTTAATTGCTACAGTTGTAGGTAGATTTCTCTAGTTATATTAAATGAGAAAACGTAAAATATTCAGTACAAGACAGGTGTGTAATAACTGTTTCTCGTGATGTTCGGATGATCCAAATTTGATGCTAAGCCCACTAAAACCATGACTTTTAACTCGACTTCTGCACATACCTGCACATACCTGCACATAGCTGCTATATTTGCATGGCTCTGAGCTGAGACAAACCACTGAGACCTGAAACATGTAAAGGCTCTCTTTCCCCCGCAAGGATCTCTGCCTTCTGTTTGTAGCCCCAGAAGCCTCTGCCTTCGCGCTCACAATACTTACCGGGTCTGAGACCATGTGCAATCTCACCACAGCGGTAAAGTTATGTTCACTGCAGTGGCATGGAATTCAATTTAAAAAGATAGATGAGATTCGTTCATAAAAGAGATTCCACCCAAGTCAGCAGAGATCGCAAGTCTAGTGGCGAGTACGCCTGAGCCGCCCTGGAAGGACATGGCCGTCAGGTAGCGTGTCTCTGGAGCAGGCGTGAGGCTGGGCTTCCTGTTACCTTTTTTCCAAAGGCGATCTTTTCATATCTCCTGCTCAGCCTGTCACACCGCTAGTGCTTTAAAAGGGTTATTGATCCATTCAGGCAATCATTCCTTCAAACGCTACCAATTTCTCTTCCCAGTTTCCCACTGCCTTGGACTGTAGTCACATGATCAGTCTTGCCTTCTGCCTCTGGTTTTCAGGCTTAGGAAGCCCTTCACTGTCCCAAGATCACCAAAGCCTTCGGACTGGTTTTCTCCTAATACTTATAAACTATGAGAGAGTGTGACCTTTGATCCATCTGGATTTCCTTTGGGACATAGAGAGTAAGGAAGCGATCTAGCTTAAAAAGCAAATTTAGCTCTCAAATACAATGAATAGAAATATCTGGATACCATTTATGTAACATTGCTTTTTAATTTTCTCAAAAATATTTTTAATTAAAAAAATAAACTCAAAGCTCATTTATATACACTTCATGAGCACAATCGACACATAGATGTACTATAGGTATGCCTATCTATGTATGGATATATAGGCCAAAAAAATTCTATTTTCCACACTTCTCTGGAATGTTACATTACAATTTGACATTATTGTCACTATTAAAATATTTTCCCTAGGAAGTTTCTATTTTATTTTTCTCATTTTCTCACTTTCCTGGTTCCTGAAGATTTCGTTTTTGCTGTACTGTATTTCGTTTTAAAAAGTCTCTTTTCAATTAAGCTCACTTCTTCGTGGACGGAGTAGGTCTTTATTCTTAGCAGGAAGGAGAAGAGATTGATTATAAACTGGTAAGTCAGTGAGAAATTGGATTCTTCATAGGTTGTCACATGTTTACAGTTGCTGGAAGGAAGCAAAGGAAGATGTTATCTTTCCATGGCCACCTGGAAAGCATGCCTCTACCCCCTGAACTGCTCCCAAGTGACTGAACAAGTAGATATATTTAGGCTTAAAATAGTCATCTGAGTTGAAAGGAAACTTAGAACAATTTGGTAAAACTCCTTAATTTTACCAAGGGAAGAACTTCGGCCCTGCCCTGGCCTCATGCCAGGGACACACAGGCGGTGCTGGAGCCAGCTCTTCCCGCTCCTGGTCGGGGCTCTGCCACTCCTTCCCAGGATCCCCACTTCTTACCAGGATCAAGGTAAACAAAGCAGAAGGGAGAGATTCTGGACCCATTTTTAAAACAAACCAAAGAAAGCAAATACTCCCCCACTCCCACCCAAACTAAGGCACAGACTTGATGAGGCAGCCTCCAGTCCTGTGCGTATCACAGGAAGTCTACACAGCAGCTCCCCTTATTCTAAAGTAGCAGATCCTGCATCTAATAAAACCTCTACCGACCACCAAATCTCTCATTCAAATCGCAATCTCTAACTCTGCCCCGAGGCGGGCAATCGGGGACACGGGACCGTGACACCATCTATATGGTGCGGGAAGTTGTGCAGAACTCATGACTGTATTACTCAGCCAGTAAAACGCAAGGGGCCAGAGGAGATAAAGGAGGAATTTACCAACTAAACCCCTTAAGAGGTATCTCAGCCACATCCAACGTATGGATCTCACTTGGATTCTGGGTTATTTAAAAAAGTACACAACAATTGGGAAAATCTAAAGTGACTGCATATTTGATAATATGAAGGAATTGTTATTAGTTTATTTTATGTCTGGTCATGGTATTATGGCTTTGCTTTAAAAATATATATTTTGCCCTAACCGGTTTGGCTCAGTGGATAGAGCGTCCGTCTGCGGACTGAAGGGTCCCAGGTTCGATTCTGGTCAAGGGCATGTACCTTGGCTGCGGGCACATCCCCAGTAGGAGATGTGCAGGAGGCAGCTGATGGATGTTTTTTACTCACATTGATTTTTTCCTCTCTCTCGAGATTCCCAGTAGGGGGCGTGCAGGAGGCAGCCAATCAATGATTCTCTCTCATCACTGATGTTTCTATCTTTCTCTATCTCCCTTCCTCTCTGAAATCAATTTTTTTTTAAATCCTTAGCCAAGGACATGGTTTTTTAAAAAATATTTTTATTTAAAAAAATTGTTTTTTAAAAATATATGTATGTATTGATTTAAGAGATGAAAGAAGAGGGAGAGAGAGATAGAAACATCAATGATGAGAGAGAATCATTGATCGGCTGCCTCCTGCATGCCCCACACTAGGGATCAAGCCCACAACTCAGGTATGTGCCCTGACCGGGAATCGAACCATGACCTCCTGGGTCATAGGCCAACGCTCAACCACTGAGCCATGCTGGCCGGGCTATATGTGACTTTTTTAATTAGAAAAAAATACTCCTTCAGGGAAAATTAGAGATCTTATCGTGTTTTCGATCCTTTACTTCCGCGAGTCCCACCCACCTTTTACAGAATTTCTGTGTACTGAGCCAGTAGAGTGAGTTCATGGTCCTCACTGACTGGCCTTTCTTGTACAGGATGCCCTGGAGGCTGTGTCCATGGAAACAGGTTCCTCCGGTGACTTCTTCAGTCCAGCTGAACTGAAAACTTGAAGGGCTGTTCTTTGGAGCAGTTGGTGTTGAGTCAACCAGTGTGCTAAACTGTTTTTGTAGATTCACCACCATCTCTGGAAATGGAGGAAAAGGAAAGAAATAAAACTAATGTTAAATTCAATAAAATCTGTAGTTCACTTGATAGTCATGCACCAATGTTGGTTTCTTAGTATGACAGATGCATCGTCAATGACATGAGGGGAAACTGACAGTGGGTGAGGGGTGTAGGGGAACTTCTTAACAAGGCTGAGATGGTAAATTTTATTCTCTATGTTTTACCACATTTATGAGTAAGACAACCGGAGGCAATTCTCCACACAGAGTTCTGGAAGCCATAGGAAGAGTGTTTAGATTTGGCGGGAGCCTCTGCTATTTGGGGAGGTAGCTTCCTGGGGGAGGTCCTGCGGGGGGGTGGGGGGA